AAACTGAGACCTTTCACAAAATAGGATTTATGAAGTACTGCTACCTGTTAACTTTGACCCACTTATGAAGTGAATATTAAACTCGAAGAACAGATCAAAGTACAATCATGACGTCCGCCTCTCTGTCTTTCCTCGTCTGGCAATTCATCACTTTCTATCCCTGCTGCTTGTACCCATCTCTCTGTCAGCTGTTTGACACCACCCTGGTGTCGCCCTGCATGTGACACATGCATAGCTGCCTATATACTGATGTGCTGCAGGACCTTTAGTCCTTTAAAGCACAGATAGTCCTGAAGATGTTTCAGATTCCACAGTCTTCTTGATGCTAAAGCCAGGGAAAGAGATTCTTAAGTGAGAGGAGGGTAACATAAACATTACTGTTATTGGTTTCTGCTCTAACGTCTAATAGTTGTATTAATGAACGTCTGATGTCTACAGTCTGTGAGGCCGGGGCCACCCTCGTATGACTCATTACTTTTACCTCATGCTCGTGGAATCAAGTGACCCATACACACCACCCCATAACGGACCTGACCACTGAACGAGACCAAAGGCTGATTCCCAGGAGATTCCCTCACGTTAATATCTGCCAGACCTCTCTGCAGTTGGCTGTAGCCCATGTTGGGGTAACATTGCTGTCCAACTCAATATGTAGAGTCTGAAGAAGCAGCGGAGCCAATAGCTGATATGGCATGGTATCAATGAGAGTTTAGACATGTCATCAGCTCTGAGTGATTCAGGATGGAGGCAGCAAAGAGCTTCTTCCTAAGAAGTTAATAACTCCCTCTCTCTCTCTCTCTCTCTCCCTCTCTCTCTCTCCCTCTCTTACCAGCCACTTACACACACATCCAAGAAGTCTCTGTTCTCATTCCTTCCATTCCTCATTGATCTGACATCCAGGTCCTGGGAGGAAGAAGAGGAGGAGGAGGAGGACGGGTAAAGTAATCAGGCTATGACATCATTTTTTGGCTACCTCATCCTCACAACACTGGAGTGTGTTTATGTGTATGGTGTGTGTGTGTGTGTGTGTGTGTGTGTGTGTGTGTGTGTGTGTGTGTGTGTGTGTGTGTGTGTGTGTGTGTGAGTCCAAGCCTTGGATAGACTAGGATAGACTCATACTAAGTAACAATTTCCTCCCTAGACATGAGGGGTCCTGGGACACTAAAATGACTAGACTAGTCTAGACTAATGATTTCCACTATAAATGAAAACATCACCTCTTAGACCCCTTTTTAGTCCATCATAATGTAACTGTTGAAGCTCATCGAACACTAATCTCAGTCTAGAGCTTCTCTGTGTGATGAAGCACTCGGGCCAAAATCAATAATTAGAATTAGTTTCTGAACAGGTGAGTCATGTCCAGCTTGATAATTTCACACTGATTAACATTATTACAGGAGTTTGGGCTGAAGCAATCACAGGTGATGACGTGAAATCTGCACAGGTAGGCACACCACCTGGTGGAGAGAGGGAGGTCTGTATGACACACAGGAGAACTTGCAACACAGAGTCATTATTATGGCCTCTGGTTTCCAGGCAACAGTGAATGCCGGAAGGCACAGTTTCAGGTGTCTCACAACGCTCCTTTCTCTTATCTTGTTCGCTCTTCTTGCCTCACTCACTGGCTGTCACAATCAGCACACACGCACGCACACACGCATGTTCACGTGGCCCGTCACCCCGCCCATTTCCTCCTGGAGGAAAGCCTTTTATGGGCATTAACCTGAGCGTACAGGTAAGGCAAACCCTGAATTTGGCTTGCTCTCTCTTGTTAAACGGTACTTCTGAAAGTGCCTTCTCCCTTTTTAGGTCATAATCAACCAACAATTAACTGGAGGAAGACTGGTGTAACTGGAAGACATGAAATAAGGAGAGGAAATGTACACTGTACACTCATAACTCCTATGCAATCATTTATTTCAACATCTGGTACATCTTCAGGATTACAGTCAGTAATCATTTGTTTGCATACAAGGTCTATAATGTATAGCAATGGTTCTAAACATGGGGGCCAGGACCCCTCCAGTGGCTCACAAGATAACTCTAAAGGGTCACAAGATGCTTAATTGGTTACGGAAAGAAGCCAAAAAAAAAAAATTCTCCCACATAATTTAGGTTAGAAAATCTGAGTTTTCATCATGTTTTTTCTTGTTAAATTCTGGATAGTTTTACCTTTTCTGGTCGCTTGCAGTAATTCAAATGAAATAATCTGAGAGGGGAAATTTGCTCTTATATGTAATTGCTCACAGCTCATGGCCAGGTGTTTCAAATCAGGTGATTCTTAGAAACGGTGGACTTATTAATGTTGGTGGCCTAAAATTGACCAGATTAACCTTTCTAGTCAGACAGAAGTTACTAATATCATTGTCTGACAGGGACCAGACATCCTCCTCATGATCTGGCTTACTCCCTTTGATTGATACATCACACACACACACACACACACACACACACACACACACACACACACACACACACACACACACACACACACACACACACACACACACACACACACACACACACACAGACAACCATGGACAGACTGACTCACACAGAAAGTCCTCCTGTATTTCTCTCTGAGTTGGCAATACAGTTATCATAGTTTGATTTTCTCTTTTATAGACTACTGACATCTAATCTCTGGCCTGCACAAGCAGAGGGCCTTCGCTGGAAAATGTCAGGAAGCACATTGCACATTTTATTCCAAACAACTTACTTATCATCACTTAAAACTCTGCCACTTATCTAGCTGCCCGGCCCATACCACCCACTCGTCTCTACATTTATGATACCAGAAAGACAATGTGGAGAGGACTTTTCCACTGACCAATCAGCCCCCCAGAGGGTTCACATCAAACATGGCTTTAGTTTGGAACTCACCCACTCACTCATGGGTGCGGCATGGATGATGGGACTCCTACGGTGTGTGTGTTTGTGTGTTCTCCATGTGTGTCCTCACAATGTGGGGTAGAAAAGTGGTTACAGAACCATAACAATAACAGACTCATTGGAAAGAGCCCAGAGCCCTCCTAATGATGTCATGGTGTCTGTTTTGTGTGTAAGTACGACTGGAATTCAATATAGTCACACACGGATTTGTCTGGAAAATGTTGATTAATGTTAAATTATTATTAGGAAGAAGCTATATTATTATAGTAATTTAATATTTTGCTAAATTTAAAGACAAAGCACTTGCTATAGCACAAGTAAGCTATTTGACTGTAGACTAAATTAAGCATATTGAGCAACAAAGGCACACTACACTGGGATCTGTTTCAATATATATATAATCTAAAAACATCAGATTTGAGCAGGCTCTGAGTTTCAGTCAGAAAAGTAAGTTAATGCTATAAAGCTGCTACTTGGTAGGAGGTATGTGGAAGTAATTTTGTATTAGGTGTGTCAGGAGACTTGTGTTCCTAAGGTGTGTCTCTAATTGTTATCCAGGTTGTGAGAATACAGGAACATGGCAATAAACTTAAATAACTAAACATTGCATTCCATTCACTACTTCAGGAGGAAGGAAGTTGTAGGGAGACAGATTGAGTCCAATTTTATTTTCTGTGAACTATGAATAAACATGGTGTAATTTTGAATTAAGATTATATTTGGATTTGTGTGATATTGCTAGTGTTTTGTTGTTACATGCTGTTGCTGTGCAATCAGGACTTTTTAACTGATAAACTCGGCGGCCACTTTTTTCTTCTCACTTATATGACCATAATTACACAAGTCCAATGCCCTCCTCAGTAACACGTTGGGTGTTGTAGGAATTCAGCCAGTCTCATTATGATGACATTCCCTACAATAAATAATTGTGGATGTAGGTGTTTCTTTTAAGACTGCTGGTAAAGTAGGTTTCCAGTGCTGAAACTGACCCACATAAAGAGACTCCACATTTTGCCAGGTGTTGCCAAGGTCATATCCCCACCAGATGTGAAGTTTGAGTTGCTTCTTTCAGATGAAACACTGTTTTGTTCAATCAAACACACACACACACACACACACACACACACACACACACACACACACACACACACACACACACACTCTAAGGCCCCTCACAGCTACTGGCCAGACCTCTCATTAGTTTTACTGCCATCCACATCAAAGAAAATGTTGTCCCTCTGGACTAATAAATTAGGCTTTGGTTTTACTTAACAGGGTCAGGTTTTGATTAGGAAATCATTTAACTGTTTTACTATGACTGGGTCTTCTCACGTAAGGTTAGCAGATTTGTATGTACCTTCAGGATGGGACCTCCCGTGCTGCTCCAGTGGTCTGTGGCACCCTCCAGTGGTCATGATAGTACAATGCGCTGCTACAACTTTCCAGTAGCATAGGGGACATGTCTTTATACTTCATATTTATGTTTTCTCTGTCTTACAAAAGTCCTGGCCAGTTAATAACTTCTGTCAATAACTTCATATCATTTGACCTAGAGACTCCAAATCAATACTAAAACCAATGGTTGATAGTATTATGAATTAAGGTTAATTCTTGCTGTTGCACACTGTTAATAGTGACAGTGCCCTCTAGAGGCAAAGAGAGAGAGATAACTGAGGGGTGCAACTATATAAAGTGTTGTTTTTGAAAAACTGGTTTCAAACTACCAGATGGCCTACGTTTAATACTTGATAGTGGAAATAATTGTTGTAACTTGAAGTCTGATTATTTAATGGTTTGTTAAAACTTGGTTTAATATACCTCAACCTTTTAAATATTGTACATACGTTTAACTTTAGTGCACATGTAGTGTGCAAATACTAAGATGATGCTCATGCATTGCATTGTTACAGAAAAACTATAATAAAGTCATTGATTATAAAGAAAATCATATGAAAGTCTAAACTATTAGCAAGACTGTTAGCTCAAAAGTTACATGATTATAAAGTTCCAGTATTTAAAACCTTTGTTACATGATGTGGCTAGTAAATAAATGCTGAGATAAAGTACTATAGAAATAATCATGGAAAAGGCATGAAAAAAGAACAATGCATTGGTGACATATTTTATTGGCACTGTTGATGCAGACATCATGTGCATAAACACACTCATCCAAGATTAGAGAAACACAATAATAAAATAAATATGAGGTTCTTTTAAAACAGAATTTTCAAGTGTTTTGGTGATATTCTTTGTTAAAGTACACACATTAGTATATCAGTAAACCTATTGATTTATAGTGCCTGTGCATTACTGATGAACTTACAGTATTATGTTCTTACCCTGCATCAAAAAATGACAAAAACATTAATAGATCATTCTATATTTCTTAAAAACACCTCATAAAAAAGGCTTACTCTCTTGTGTTTTCAAAACTATGAACTCAATAACAGTTTCATTGTCTATTAAAGCAGCCTAGCACAGAACAAGCAGAAGCAAATAAACAACAACCAAAGAATTGCTGTCTTCAGTTGCAATGTGAAAACTCAAATAACATTACAGGCTAACATTAGGCACCCCCTTTATACACTGTGTATTTAAAACCCATCAGGCTCCAGGAAGGCGGCCTCTATCCTCTATTTCAGGATCTTTTCCCCCCTGTTGGGGGTAGGTTGGGGGGATGTTTGTGGTAATAGTCTGGTGGGGTGGGATTGGGGCTCGCATTCATCCCTGTAGGCACATAATACATACTCTCCAGGTAGCTCTGGTCCAGTGGTGGATGGTTCTGTGTCTCTGGCTTGGGCACCTGACCAGAGGAATTCCTGTAACTGACCCCAGGCCCACTTGGGTGCATTGTTGCTGCAGCAGAGGCCTCAGGATATCGGGGTGGCTGGGGCTGAGGCTGGGGCTGAGGCTGGGGATGAGCTGGGGGAGGAGGAGCTGCATAGGGCACGTACTGAGGAGCAGGGGCGTACATGTTGGGGTTGTGGAGAGATGCGTAGGGAGCTGCTGAAGGAGGATAAAGGCCTGAATGTGACATTGCTTGCTGTGGGATGAGCACTTCCACATATTGACCAGTCTCTGGGTCAAACAACATTTTCCTCAGTGGTTGTACAGGCACCTCAATATAAAAATACTTCCCTGTCTCAGGATCCAGGAGAACTCTGCGAGGTGTTTGTCCATAGCTACTCTCTGAGTACAAACTGGAGCCGTCACCCCCATATTCAGAGCCATACGAAGGCCCCAGGCTTTGAGGGCCACATAGGTACTGGGGATCCATAGGAGGAAGGCCAGGAGAGTGGCTGTGGCCAGTTTCACTGTAAGGAGCCCCAGCCATTCCTGGTGGCTGTTGCTGGGGGGATCTATGTACAGGGGGTCGTCGAGGGTCAGTATGCTGTGGTGGCTGCAATGGGCGGTCTGCAGGGCAGGCCTGCATGAGTGATGGGTGGGGAGGGCAGGGAGGAGGTTGGTGGAGAGGCTGGTACATGGCCGGTGGCTGGCTTGGACCAAGAGGGCTGGATTTGGGAGAGCTGAGCTGGTAGCTCATCTGCTGAGGGTCAGGTCTGCACTGGTGGGTACGGAGAGAGGGCTGAGCCACTGGGTAAGGCAGTGTGTGGCCTGGAGAGTGTGGAGGGGCAGGGGGGGTAAGGTTATGGGGGCTGCGGTGATGGTGAGGAGGGGTCAGACCAGGGTGGGAAGGGCAGCCAGCTGTGCAGGAGCAGGGAAGAGGGCGGGAGGAGGGTTGATAGCGGTTTGACCTCCTGTGGGTCAGATCTGGGAGCATGAGGGGACTAAAGCTTTCTCTTTCATCGTAGCTTGGAGGGTCATCTGAGGCATAAAAACGCAGCTCATCTGTCCTTTGGGAGCGCTCACTGGCTAGTGATCTGTGGTATGGCTGGTGTGTGTATCCTGGCACTTGTGTTGTGGAAACAGCAGCTGGTTGTTTTGTATAGTTTGAAGTTACCGGCATAGCTTGTTCATGAGGATATGCAGTCCTGGGATACTGTGGTTGGGTATCTGGATCCACAACAGCTGGCTGGCTTGGCTTGTTAGCGTCGGCTGAGACTTGGGTTTGGACAGGGTTCGTTTTTGGGTCAGAAACCGGACCTGGACCTGAGGTTAAACTTGGGCTAGAGCCCGATGTTAGGGCTATCGCTAAAGTTGTGGGTCTTTGTGTATAACTAGAGCTCTGAGAGGAGGCCCCTAGCTTTTGCTGCTGAACCCTTTCATTAGGTGGCTCTGTCTCTGATGGTGTTGTTAACTGGGTTGAGAGATTGGAGATGGGGGTGGCTGTGGTTTTGCAAGGTGGAGGTTTGAGGCTGGATACTGCAGACACAGCTAGTTTTCTTGTATAGTTTGATGTTGTTGTGGACTCATTGGATATCTTTCTATAGATTGTAGGTGAGGACACTACAATTGTTTGAGACCTATCCTCACCTTGTGGTTTTACAGTTGATGTTGTTGTTGCTGATGGTCTCTGTGCTTCATCAGGCATTGTTCCTAAATCTGCAGGTTTAAATTTGCAACTTGGTTTTGGAGGCACAACTGGCTTTTGAAAATTTTTAGCTACAGATTTGACCTCAATGGTTTGAGGCCTATTGTTTCCTGTAGAGTTTGCGGGCATCTCTTGTTTCTGTATGTCTTTAGACAGTGACTTAACCTCAATTGGCTGTGGTCTGAACCTCCTTATCGCAGGGGACTTTGGGGGGAAAGTTGGATCTTGTCTTTTCACAGCTTCAAAATCTCCCAGTTCCTTCTGTTTGGTGGGAGGTGGTGTTTGCTCCAGCATATTCCTTAGTGGAGAAGAACGTTTTTGCTTTGCTGTGTCTTTTACAGTAGGCTTAATGCTCCCTCCCTCATCTTCTCTGGTCTTTGTAAGGGTGTCTGTGTTGTCAGACACTGCTGAAGGGCCAGACGTGGTAGATGAGGAGGAGAATGTCCTCTCTCTATGAGACTCGATTTGACTTCCATCTGAAGGAGTGATGGTCTGAAGGGGGATCTCTAGGCAGTTTACATGCTTACGGGGAACCCCTTTACCTCCAGCTGCATTCTGGTTGTCACCCACCACTGCTCCGATGTCAGCTTGGTAGCCTTTCTCCTTTAATAACATGGAAACTGAATGACCGCTGCTACCAGGGGTGCTGCCAGGGGTAGTGGGCCTAGGTGAGGGTGAAGCAGCTGGAGCCTGGAGTGGGGTGGGAATCTCTTCTTGGGCTGGAGATGTCTTGGTCTTGCTGGATCCATCCTTTATTAACACTACAGCAGTGGACACCTCTCTTTCCTTACTGGGCAGTTTGGGGAGACTTCCAAGAATGGGAGGTTTTCTGTCTGTTCTAACCACCACAGGTTTGTCCTCATTGTCGGGCACTTTATGCATTTCTATCATAGTCTCTTGTTTTTCTCTTGCCATGTTTAGGTCATGTTGACATGGCATGGCAGTTGCAGTGTCTCCTGTTTTGTAATTCTGTGTATCTGCATTCAAGGACTTCTGTGAATCTCTGCTTACCTCGATGACATGCTTTGGATCTGCCTGGTGTTTGCCACCTGGATTCTCTGAGTCTTTTGTGCTGCAGAACATTTTATTTTTGTCTTCTTTCCAGCAGACAGCCTTGTATTCTATTTGCATTGGCTGTGGACGAGACAAGGGATTTACTTTGCTCCGAGGAGACGGAGAGGATGTCTGCAGCTTTGAGTCTTTTACCTCCTCTTTTGGTTCCTCTTTCCTCTCCACTCTGAACTCCTCTTCCCTCTCTGAACTCCCCTCCTCCCTCCTTATCTCTTGCCTTAACACAGTCTCTTCCCCTGCAATGACCTCTTCTCTCCTTTTCTCTTTTATTGCTTCCCTTTTTTTCTCATTAAAATGTTCCATTCTTTCCTCATTGACATGTGATGGTATTACAGCACTAGTTGCCTTGAAGGACAGATTATATGTATTTTTTACAAGTCGCCTCACATCTCTAACTTTGTGAATGGGGACCTTAACATTCCCTTCTTCTTCCTCTGTTTTCTCTACACTGGTGTCTACCCTTTCCTCCTTCTCTCTGAAAGACATGTCTGGTGAAGAAGCATAAGTTTTGTTTTCTGCTTCAGGTGTGAGACAAACATTTAGGGAGGCTTTCTTTTTGCTTTTGAGTGTAATCTCTTGTGTTTTTGATGTGTAGCCACCCTTGTCACCCTGTTGTGGTTGTTTATGGTCCAATGTGTTTTCACATTCCTGGTCTCTATTTGTCGCCCTGGCCTGCGTGCTGCTGGCTCCAGTGGCAGAAGGAGCTCCTGTGTTCCCGGCAGTGGCATTTGCTGACTCATCCCCCTCCCTTCCGTCCCATGTTTTACTGTCATTTGCTTGTTGTACTTCAGCTCTTGACCGTTTACTATCAAGTGGCACTTTCAGTTCTGATCTCATTTCAGATCTTGATGATGTTGAATTCCTTCTTTGAGAATCAGCTTCTTCACTCTCAGTTTGTGAAAAGTTAACACTTTTGCTGCTGCTGGATGAACTTGGCCTGTTATTGGATCTCACTCCAAAGCTCTTTGGTGGTTTGGCTTCGTCCTTTGCGCTTTGTTCTCCTCTCACAGATAGCCCCTCAGATGAAAGACTATAATCTGACGGAAGACTGGAACTCAGATTATGAATGTCAGGTTTTGGGGACTCGGGTGATGGGCTGTTTTCCTCAGAAGTGGGGCTCACTTTTTGTTCTGCCTGCTCATCAGGTTGTTTATCACCACTTTGCATCCTCTTGGACAACACACTCTTGATGAGACAAGAGGCCATCTTGGTTTTAGTGCATGTTTCATCCAGAGAAGCAGATTTCTGGAGTCTGGATTTTCTTTCATTTTGTTGACTGGGCTCAAGGTTGTGCTCAAAAGGGTAACATTCTTGCATTGCTGCTGGTGTACTGTGTTGTCTCACGAATGTCTCTCTGGAGTTTCTCTCTAGAGAGGGGCTGTCCACCATCACTGGTACTCCAGGACTACTATTTTCACTGCTCTCATCCTGCGTCCCTTCAGCATTATCCTTTCTCTTCAGCTGGATCTGTCTCTTTGGCACTCCTCTTCTCACCTTCCTGGAGTCATCTCTTTCCACAGCCACATCTACGCACTCAAAGCTGCCCATTTCATAGCGCCTTGATGGATCTAGGCCATCTGAGTAGTATGCAGATGGTTGATGGAAGGAGAGTTCATCATTGTCCAACTTTGGAGCAGAACCCCTGAAGTCAGCATAGGCCAGCCAAGCAGCATTGAGCCCAGCTGGGCTCTCCTGCGTAGATGGTTGAGAAATGTTGGTAGATGAACGGTGACTGGAGTTGTACATATCAAGGTAATCTACCTCAGGGCTTGACAGGCTGCTGAAAGCCAAGTCTGTAAACCACTTCACCTCATTGTCTGCCTCATCAAGCTCACTTCCCATGCTGGAGCTGGAACTCTGGCAGGGCCTGTTTATGGACACGCGTCCAGGACCACTGTTCTTCTTCTGGGATGCAGGATGTTGAAGCCGTCTGCTGGAACCACCACCCCTGGTGTCTTGTTGTGAAGCAAGTCTAAGCAGACTTTGTTGTTGCTGTAGCTGTCTGGTGGCAAGCAAGCCCTCTGAATAGGAATGCACTGTTGGCAGTCCCTGACGGGTCTCTCTGCTTGTGGGAGCTGCTCTGCGACTTGCAGGCCCTTTTCTATTCCTGGCATTGAATGACAGCTCAACCTGTTCTCCCCTGTAACTGGTGTCCCCCTGCCACCCCTTCCCCTTTTCAGGAAGCCGCTCCTCCCTCTTTCTCTCTCTCTCCATCTCTCTATCCATTTGCCTCTCCCTACCTACCTCTCTATCCTCCTCCAGCTGCATTTCCTTCTCCATCTCCAATTGCGTTCCTAGCCTGACCCAGTGGGCCTGGCTATTATTGTCAACAGGGTCAACATTGGGGCTTTCCCTATTTGTCACCGCTTTCTTTAAATTACCACTCGGTGAGGATCCTACAACCTGAGAGGGGCTACGGCTTCTGTTCTGCCACTGTCTGTATGGTTTCTCAGGGGCTATAATGTGCACAGGTGTAAACCTGGTGAGTGGTGGAGAGGGTGTCCGCCGTCTGTTTACATGGTGGGCCATGTCCTCTGTGAACCTCTCTTGGTTTTCACGTCTAACGCTGGTTGACAGCTGTCTTCTCACGTGCTCAGGTGTACAAAGTGATTTTAATGAACTGCTGCTTTCAGGAGTTAGGGAACAAGGAGTGAATTGAGGCTGTGGGTTTTCCGGTCTCTGCACAGCGGAGTTGGATGGACTTCTGTCTTTAGAGACTAGACGATTAGGAGAAGGAGACTTGATTCCAATGGGGGGATTCTTATAAGTGTCTTCTTTCTGAAAAATGGTTGGGCCAATTGCTTGTTTTTCCTCAGACAAGGAGGCTACACTTGAGTTATCCTGAAGGTTTGGTGTTGCTTCCCTCTCTGTGCTTTGTTGTTTCAATGAACTGTCTACTTTTTCCTCTGCTAAGTAAGGTGAAGTAGATTTAGTTGAATGAACTACCACCACTGGTGATCTGCTTTTGATTTCAGTTACAACTGATTTGTCTCCCCTGTCTGATTCAAATGAGGGTGACACACTCTCTTTAGCCAAATGTGTGGGGTACTTTGTTTCTGTAATGTCACCTGAAGATGAATCCACTTCAACCTCGGGTGTATTTCTTACAGAAGGAGTAGACTGTGTATACTGAGGGTTGTGCTCTGTAGAGAGTTTTGCTGGTGAATGCTGATGACACCTCTGCTCAGGAGTTGAGGCAACAGGTGATGGCTCTTTACCTCTGTGCTGAGGTGAGGGACTTTGATACTGGTCAGATGAAGGGGTTTGATATCTTGGTTCAGGTGAGGGAGTGTAATGCTGTGGCTGAGGTGAAGGTGTTTTGTACCTAGGTTGATGTGACTGAATTATTTCAGGCTGCAGGACAGAGCTTGTTAAGCCTAAAATATGAGGTGAGTCTCGTGGTGTACCAGTGGACTCTGCTATACTGCTCTGTATACTGTCTGTGCTTGGGGCAGGGCTCCTTGCCTCAGGGGACACACGTGTCCTATTAGGCTCAGGGGTGGAGAGACGTAAGAGCTCAGGAAATGGGGGAGTGCCCCTGTCCTCAGGCTGAACAACAGAGTAAGAAATCCCTGTGATATGAGGGGACGAAGTGAGGCTTCTTGATGAGGCAGAGTCAAAGTGAGGCTCTAACAGAGGCGAGGCTGATGTCTCCACCTCAGAAGGCTGCTCTCTCCTACTGACCTCAGGTGAGGAGGCTGTAATCCTGATTTCGGGTGAGGGAGCAGTATATCTGTGCTCGATGAGAAAGCCGTTGCTCGTAACTTCAGGTGATGGAGATAAACTATAACTTACCTCAGATGTAGACACCTGGGTCCCGATTTCAGAAGGAGTTGAAATATGTCTTATTTTACGTAAGGGGTCAGGAGAGGGAGTTCTTGTCCCAGTTTTAGCTGGAGAAACAGCACTGAGCAGGCCAGGTGAAGGAGCTGTGTGACTTAATTCAGGTGAGACACTACTCCACGCAAGCTCAGGAGATGTTGCTATTGCAGGTGAGGGAGGAGTGTATCGTGGGCCAGGTGTAGACACAGTGCTGACCGGTTCAACTGATAAGCTGGTATCTTGGCTCTCAGGAGTAGTTGTGGTGTCCCTTCCTGCAGTGCAAAAATCTGAAAACAGCTCAGGGGTGTGGGTAGAATTTTCAATATCAGGTGTGAAGCCTCTGCTGAAGAGATCAGGCAGGGAGACTCTCCTTCTTAGCTCAGGAAAAGGAGATGGTGCTTGAGTATCAGGGGAGTAGGACCTATTCTTCAGCTCAGGAGAGACCAGTGTTTCTCTTGACTGGGATAAATCTGTACTACTGGATGAAGGTAAAGGAGATGAACAGAGGGCTCTAGATTCAAAGGCTGATTCTGTCAAATCTAGAAAAAAATCTTTGGATGTGGGCTCAGGTGAGGGACTGCTGTGTTGATTAAAGTCGCTGCTCCTTGCCTCAGGTGAGATTTGTGCTACCCTGAATTCAGGCAAAGCGTGGGTGTTCACTGATTCAGAAGAGCATGAGCTGACACAGTTCCTAGGTTCAGAGGAGGGACTTGGAGTTAAAGACTGATGTGAAGGGCTGTTGAATCTATCTTTGACAGTAGAAGCAATTCTCCTTGGATCAGCTTCTGAATGCACTTGTCTGGGATTAGGTGGCGATGGTGAACATCTTTTTTCAACTGAGGAATAAGATAAGGATGACCTTCTCCCCTCTGGACTCAGGTTATAGGGGCTGTTATTTCCAAGAGAGGGGGTCCTCTCACCAGTGTTGAGAATTTCAGATGACGGGCTGTGAGCCCTACTAAGCTGAGTCTCAGGTGATTTACTTTTTGGTTCTAAATTGGGGCTACTGTCCTCAGAAACTTCTTGATGCCCTGAGCTCTGTCCCTCGCCCTCAGGCCTCTCTGAAGACTCACTCTGCAAGGGGGGGCTGTAAACCCTTTCTCCTGAATCTTCAAAGCCCTCCTCTCCTTCACTGGAGCCCTGTGCAGTGTGGTAAGAGCCTGAGGAGTCGTTCAGATCATCAACCAGGGGTGATGCAGCAGCTGTCCCATCCACCTCCCTCTGGGAAGGGACAAAAGCCGCTACAGCAGGGCTTCTTGGGAGGGAGGGTGACTCACAGTCGTCTCCAAAAATGTCACACAGGCAGGTAGTTTCGGAAATTGCACTGCGCTGACTAGGTACGTTGATGATGTCGAAGATTTCAACGTGGTTCGGGGTGCCGTCACGATGGCACAGGGCAAAGGTGCGGGGCGCACTGCGCAGGAAGGAGTAGCTGTCCCCCTGGAGAGTCCAGCTGTCCATTGCTCGTCCACAAGCTCCAAATTCTCACTTTGGCCAGTCCAGTCTGCTCCTCTAGTGTGTTCTGGGCTCTGTTCCTGGACTGGAAATGAGATATGGTCACCTGGAGGGTGTGTAGCTTATTCATTTATATCACCAGGAATACTGATGAATATCATTAAGAACCAAAGCCTATTAATAGCAACTATAGAGGCTAAAGCATTGTGCATTATTTCCGTTTTGTCAGCTTGCCAACAGCAAATTTAGCTTTTAACCCTCAAATGTTCTGAGAATACCTACAGCACACAGATTGTAATTCTCCAAAAGGGGTTAAGAACATAAACATACTGTAACTGTCAACATGCTGTAAAATCCAGTTGCATGCAACTTTAAATCAACACAAGACAATAAGCAAACATTTACTCTGAGTTGATACCAGAAATTCAGTGTATCTCTACATGTGCTTAAAATCTCAAAAGATTTCATCAAGACATTATATACGACATGCAACTCATTTTGAATTACAAAGAGTGAGATTTATTTATCAATTTTATATGGAATGTGAGAATATTTAGATTAGCTCTGCCCAATACATACCCTTTATTTAAGTTTCCACATTGGATTGGTGTAGGACTGACAAGAGAAAGAGAGACTGCTCCCTCTGCAAATAGAGAAAGACAGAATGATTGGTACTGTACCTTTGGCCAATGATGAGGCTTTCCCAAGGGCATTGAGTTCCTCTGTGTTGCAATATCTGCCCCTCATCCAGCGAACTGTCTCTCAAAATCCACAGCTGAATCTAGGAATGAGCAGCTCCACACAGCTCAGACTGGCAGTGCCACACTGGCTAGACAGCTTCAGAATGCAAAATGCACTGCCATGTATCAGACTTGAATAGAAGAAGCAAAGCGGGGCATTTCGCTTAGACCCATTACATCCTCTAATGCTCCCATCTCTATTTCTGCCCCTCCCTTATGAGCTGCCCTCGGGGAAATTGCATACAGAGTCTAACCTGGATCTTTTTTCTTCTCCAGGCTGGGGTTTGGTTGGACATTAGCTTTCCTCTGTGTGCTGGGCTGGGGTGCAGCGCTGGGGGTGGGTGGGTTTATAGTTAGCAGCAGGTGCTGAGGCGGCCAGGACGGATGAGTGTGCCTGGAATCTGACACTTACAGGCAGCTCAGTCACAGGGCTCCTCTATATATAGACCTATACTATCAGGGCCAGATAGCCATAGCTTTAGCTGAGGGCACGCTGGTGGGGAAAGAAAGGGGAAATACAGAGCTTGAAGTTTATCCGGCCCCACATATTGTCCACTTAACCACTATTGTATACTGTATGTGATTATACTTAACATTGAGGGAATAAATAACGTATGGTTGTGTGTGCAGTATGTATGTGTTTATGTGAATGCTAAGATAAAGCTGGGGTACAACAAGTCAAAGGTTTACACAGACCACCCAACTTTGACAGCTCACATGCAGCACTCCTGTGCTCTGCATGGTAGCTAGCAACACTTGCATAACATCGGTATGGTGCTCTCACATGTTTTAAGTCATGTTTTTCTCCTTTTAACCTCAACCTAATGTTCCAGGACCACTCCAGCCAATCAATTTTACTACAAATTATTGTTGCTACAATAGCAGCACCATCTGAGTCACATTCAGGCTGTCTGGGCATGTTTGATGTTAATAAATTTGGATAATCCCTCTGTCCCTAACCTAATACCTCATGTGATTACAATTCATTCTGAGTCATTAAGTCATTCAGGGCAAGCAAATGGAAAATCTTTGATTGCAGCTCCAACTGTTGTTGCATAAATCTGTGACTGAGGGTATATTATATCCGTCGTATCAAGGGGTTGAGAGATTGCTCTCAACACTGGAAAGTCAATAATCTATTATGTGTATGGCATCATACATATGTCATTTGGCCCTCTTTTCTGTCTGAAGTCTTTAGTGTGCGTAACCAAAAGCCCTTGACCTTGGTGGAGTTAATGCAATATGGCTCTACTCACAGAGCTATACATCACCTATATATTTTTTTTTTACACCATTAATTCTCTATAAATTCATTATTTTTTATAGACTAGTGTTTATAGACTCCAGATCTCCTTTCAAAGATATCCTGTAAGTGCTTTCATATTTCATTGAAGACTCTAATGGCATGACAGGCATGTATCACCATCCCTCTGACTGTACTAAGGAGAGGATGGATGACATGATTAGAACTCATACAGTTAACTGGCATACACTGTTTCATGATGTGTTACAAATAAACACAGATGTTATTTGGAAAACAGAGTGACAGTATAAAAAATGGTCTTCCAGAGCAATAAAGTTGTAAAAGATTTGAGAGGACAACATGCATGTGTAGATGTGTGTGCCCGGTATGAGTTGGGTGAACTAGTGGAGAGAAGTGCTGATAAATTTGAACCTCTGTGGTTATAGCAGCACAGTAGACTGGAAGAGGACTCAGAGGGAAAGAATGCTAAGCACCTCAGCAATGGGGAGCTTTAGTCTACATCACTGATAGATTAGTCACACCCGCCTGCTCAAGTCCAAAGACCTCACCCACCTTCACCCTCAGCAATGCGACACACCAAAAAGCCAGGCATAAACAATACGCTGCGTGGGCATCTATAAGCAGACATGTGTATAATAACCTTCTAAATCAAGGGCAGAGGGACTGGTGTCCGTGTCCACATGTTGAGCAAATATCAGATACTGTCTGGCACCGTGTGAAGAAGATAAACATGACTTACTTTTTTAAAATTAAGTACGGCTACTTTTTCTGCTTGCGTTCTATCTGTGGGATATGATGCTAAACAAGGATCCAGTCTCATGATTTGTTCAAGTGCTAGTAAACAGTAATAATATAAACATAAGATCACATTCCAGATCCATATCTAGGATGTGATTCGTGTTGCATGGCCAAGCTATTTTTTTTAATATTAACTATATTTAAATGTTTTTGGTTATGATGAACAATTCTGAGGCACTCGTACTGCATCTGAATATTGAGACTTTTACTCCAACGCATTTCAGGAGGGAAGGAAATGTTGCACTTTTTTACTTCACTACATACTACTCACATAGCACATTAAGACTTTAGATACAAAACATACGATAAGCTTAAAAAATATTATGTTTTCCTAGAAATGAAAGAACATAATAATTTATGCCCCCTTTTTTTTTTTTAAAACACCCCTCCAGCCAGTAAACACCCTGTGTTATAAACAGTGACATGTAAGACTACTCTTGCATTTTTAGCTCACCCAAAAATGGGCCAGCAGTATTTGCACTTAACTTCTGCTGCCTGACTTCAGGGACTAAGAATCATTTTGAAATAAATTGCCACAGAAGAGGTGCAGATTTTGCAGCAATACTGGCCCACAGACGGGTGATACAAACACAAAATTATGCATTTTGAGTGAAATATTCCTTATTCTTTACTAAATCCACTCATGCAAATTGGACAACTATACTGCATTTTTCCACCAGTGGCTATAGTGTGTTTTATGAATATAGCCCTGGGGTCTGTATATGTAAAATGTCTACAAAATGATTGTAAGAACTGTCCTAAACTTTAACTTAGTAAAGAGTAGGACTTTAAGCTTAATCTGTACAAAAATAGGCTTAAAATAACTTTTGGTGGGTGAAGAGGGTGGTGTTGGCGTGGAGGGGGCAGGTCGTAATTGTACTCACATGGTCCTGTGGTGGTCTTCTGCGGTGCTGGGTCTTCCTGGGATGATTAGTGGTCACTGTAGACCATTTAGAGCCAGGGACTGCCCCCATCACCCTGTCAGTCCGTAAATCTCATAGCATAGTGCATATGCTGTTTGTCGTTAGTTTAGGATAAAAAAGTGCAACATTAAAATATATATTCACCAGTAATAGTGAAACCTGAACATGCACTTTTCACATGGGTATGTGTCTTGTTATGCAAATGTAATTTCAAATACAAAAGGTCTATTGAAACTGGATGAAAGATTAAACATACATACAGCATTGTTAGTGTTTTGGTTATTTTGGTCCACATTTACTTTTTTTTTTTTTGTCCTCACATGCCTGTAGTAATGCAGGATTGATAAACCATCATCTCCACTGTTATTGGATTTGTCAGTGAGCTCAGGGGATCCTTATTTACTCCAAAACTTCATCTGTGTTGTATTATTTTCTCTCCAAAACACTGACAAGACAAGATGGATAACCCGCAGCAGCTGATTGTGAGTAGGGTCTCTGATCCACCTCTAACTTCTTAGCTAGTTTTAGTGTAAAATCCTCGACCTTACACCACAAAGAGTGGGACTCATGAATCTACTTTTACCTAAGAGTACATAAAAACACTTTAAAACACCCTACCTTAACCTGCATTGTACTAAATTATCATTCACAAAGAGGACTTGTGACAGCTTCGTGTGCAAGAGAGAAATCAGATTAAAGTGACAATCACACGGTGCACGAAGAGCTCACAGTCTCTCATGTCGCAGAGTAAAAGACTTTTATTGTGAAAGGCCCAGTTTAACGCAGAATGCGACACAGGAAGATCCGCATTACGACTGCTGGTGAAGTGTTGCCATAACAGGCAAGTGGCTAACGCTAATGTTTGCTAACTAATTAGCAGCACAGGTGAGTGGTGTTTACTTAAACGTGTCTTAAATTTAACGTGAACGGCGACGGATGCTGTAAGTGTTTGAGTAGTGCGAAAATAATGAAGACGAGCGGGTTGTCACTCTCTCCTGAAATTATTTGGGCCTTGTCAGTCAGCAGCAGGCTAACGTCAGCTAGCTGCTAGCAGTCACCGTTTGTTTATGTTAGCTGTGCGACAGCTTCTTTTCTACTAAATTACCGCGTCGAAGCGAAATAAATGGTTAGCACTTTGCAGCGCTTCATATTTATCATTGCTAGTTAGTAATATAATTTAATATTCGATTAAAACAGAGAGGTAGTTTGCGTTTATGTTGGTTAGCTCTGTTACGGGGTTAACTGCTAGCTTTGGTGGACATTTTCTGTACTCAAGCGGCGAGTTACAGCAAAGCTTCACCTATCATAGGAAAGTAAAAGTATCTGAATGCAGACCAGCTGCTCAAACACAATCACCAGTTCAAAGGTCCTCTCGTTACCTGGTGATCAAATGGTACTTTGGTGTGGTTGAGACGCTAGTGGCGACCAGCGTTAGTAAACACCAGGCCGCAGAGTACACAGTGTGCCTGGTGTTTAATACTCTAAAGGCCCTTGCTACTTGTTAGCAGTTTTACACTAGACCAAACTTTTAATCTGGACAGTGCTGGGTAGGTTTGCTTTTTCTCTTCTCTTGGTAAAAAAAAATAAAAATAAACAAATGTGATCGCACCAGCTGTCAAATGTCTTTTCAAAACATTGTAATCTACCTCTGTTGTCTTGTTCATGACAGTGGGACAATCGTGGGATTGATGATATCAGTGTAGTGGGAAGGCTGCAGGCAACTGGTTTGTGATATTAAAGCAATAAAAGAGGATCCTGCATCTTTCTGATAAGATCCACAATCCAAATTTGTAGGGTTTTCTTTTGTGTTGAGTCCACAGTAGCAAACTACAAAGATCTGCAAACTGAGTTCACCGAAAAGAGAAAATAAAACCATTAATTATGTGGACCTGATCAATACATCAGATGAGCTAATATGTCACTATCTGTATGTCTGTTAGCTGACTGGTAGCAATAATTAGCAGTTCAGAAATCAAGATAAAATATATATTTGTGTGTGTTGCTGTTACAAAGCACTAACTGAGGGTTACATTAATATTATTATGCTTTGTGTTTGTGTAAAAGAAAACAGAGACGAAATGATTGGTCGATCAACTGGTAATTCTATCTCCCAACTATTTAAAAAAATGTATTCATTGTTTTATGTTGTTGTAAAACAAAATAACATCACATTACCTAGTTCCAGCTTCTCAACTGTGCAGCTTTTCTGTGTCTGATATCTTTGGGGCCATAGG